AGTCTTCTTTCCTGTATGTGTGTCTCCGCTTCTCAGAAGAACACCAGTTATAGTAGATTTAGGGCCCACACTAATCCAGTGTGATCTCATATTATCTCTTTTTTAACTGAAGTACAGCTGATGTATGTTAGTTTCAGGCGTGCAACGTAGTGATTGAACATTTAAACATAGTGAGCCTAATAATTACCTGCCACCATACAAAATTGCAGTATTATTGACTATATTCTTTATGCTGTATGTTACATCCCCATCAACCTCATTTTACCTTAACATAACTAATTACATCTGCAAATGTCCTATTTCCAAATAAGACCACATTCTGAGATGCCAGGTGGACATGAATTTAGGCAGGACACTGTTCAACCCAGTATGGCTCTTCCTCTGGCCTCCCCAAATCCACATTAATCCCCTGTGCCATGTGCAAATGCAGTTACCCTGTCCCAATATCCCCAAAAGTCTTAACCTATTCCTTCATTAATTCTAAATCTTAAATCTCATCTAAATACCTTCAACTCAAAAAGTTCCACATTTTATCATCTATATTGGGTATGAGTCAGACTCTAGATCTGATTCATCCTGGGGCAAAATTCCTCTCCATCTGTGGACCTGTGAAACTAGAAAATGAGTGATCTGCTTCCAAAGTACCATGGTGGAACTGGTGAAGCAGAGACATTTCCATTCCTAAAAGGAGAAAATGGAGGAAATAAAGGAATATCTGGTTGAAAGAAAGTTCTCAACTCAGCAAGGCAAGTTCCACTAGGTTTCAAAGCCAGAGAATAATTTTCTCCACCCTCTGTGTCAAGGGAGGTTCCACCCTCTGGGCCCATCTCTCTGGCTTCTGCAACCACAGCTCTACCCTTGGAGTCATTTTTCCTTTGTCTTAAAAGGTAGCACATGTTTGCAGCTGGAAGTTCTATCAGCCTTTTCTCCATCTCCAGAATCCCAGAAGTTTGACAGCCTTCCTTCATTTCATTCTGTTCCTGGCCTTTTCAGTCCAAGCTAGTGGTGTTTCTTCTGATATTATGTTCTCGAAAACCATGAGTGTCTTCTGTGTTTGCCAAGGGGATCCACACCAGACACAAGAGGATTTTCCACAGATCATTCTTGGATAGCCTCATTTCTATTCCTGGCTTCTGCAGAGACAGATGATTAGATACATGAATAACACACCTGGTCACACCCAATTGCATTCAGTCAAATTGAGCGGGTTGGGAAGCAATAAGAATTCCACCATCCTTAACTTGGAAGATAGATTCTGTAGTAAAGTAATTAATTATATGATCAATTATCATCTTCAGTAGGTCAAATCCAAATAATTAAAATTTAAAAGTCAATGCACCATTTAGTCAAATTGCAAAATACTAATTACTTCACTACAATTGATTTCCCAAGGCCAATCAACAGAAGCCAAATTAGTAGTGCTTGGCTTAGAATTCTTAACCCTTAATTCAGAGAGCCACATACATCTCCATCTTGATTCCCAGTAGTGGCTGGAAGGAGATTCAGGACAATGGAAGGTTTGTTTCTGCTTTTCTTTTCAATGGGAGAGTATGTTTTAAAAAAGCTGACAAGTCACACTGAGAGAAGAAATCAATAACAAGTTTCTTAAGCAGAGACAGGTGATGGGGAAGGAGGATAGGATGAGTGCAGATGCAGATAATGTGACTAGCAATAGGCATCTAAGGGAGCTCCCCTCTGATAACTTCCATTTTAATTTAATCAATACTTATTGACTTCCAACTATATATAAGATACCATTGCAGACCCTTAGAGTAGAAGAAAATAACAAGAGATTTAAAGTCTCTTTTCTCCTAGAAATTGTATTCAACAGGAGGGATTTAGACATTAAACACTAACAAATCTAGAAAATACATTGGAGGCAGAGCTGGCAGAGCTTTTAATGGATTGAGAATGAAGAGGGAAGGGTTTTTGCCTGGAGCAACTGGGTGAATTTTGTGTGTACTGTAGGCTTTTCTCCCAGGGGAAAGGGGGATGGAGGAATGGAGGTGGGGAGGGGGGAGGTGATGGTCAGATGTTTGACACAAGCGTTGAAAGACTGACAGTTATTTCAGGGAACTGGACAGGTTGGCTAGGAAAATGTTGGATTGCCAAGCAATGTTGAGACTTTATTTGTCTTGGTGATCAAGAATTTACAGTGGAACCAATCTGCCCTGTGATTTTCCCCGTTCACCCTCATCTGCAGAGGCATCAGCATGGCTGTGATAATAGCTGCCAAATCTTCCCCAACCCACAACTTTGGCTCAACTTCATTGGTCCAGGAATGAGCACTTGACCCAAGCTGAGCAAGAAGAGTCTTCCTTAGATTTTTGGACTTAAGATGAGAGACAGATCTGAACTCTCTTGTTGCAGTTGTTAGACATAATAATCAAGTGTAGGGTTTTGGGGGGCAGGCAGGGGTGAGCATATTCCCTACTGTCTGGCAAAAGCAATGCAGTGGTGAGAAAATGAAACCAATGTACTGAGAGACACCATGATAATAATGGATCACACAGATAGACTGTGCTTTGTGCTCTGCACAGTTCTAAACATTTGTCATATGTTGAATCTCTGAATGATTAAAACAAACCTATGAGGTAGAAACTACTATAATCATCCTCACCTTATTTACGGGGAAACTAAAGCACAGAGAGTTGGATTTCTTGCCTAGCATGTAAGACATGGAACTAAGATTTGAATGCAGGTTTGTTAGTGCTGGTATCCATGCTTTTAACCACCGTGCTGTACTGCCTCATGTAAGAGAAAAGGAAAATCCTATTGCAGTTGAATTGATTTGAGTTTCTGCTCCCAGTTGCATTCCTGCCCATGATCTTGTTTGGTTAATTGCTTTCACAGTTTCTGTTAAGCCAACATTTTCCCCCTTTCCCTTAAGCTTCTCATGTTGAGTTTCAGTAATTTCAAAACAAAAGAGTCCTCATACAAAAGTTGGGTCCCAGAAGTGAAATGGTTCACTGATACCCCTGAACTGTGAAACTCATGGAGTGGAGCGGGTTGGGAAGCAATAAGAATCCCACCATCCTTAACTTGGAAGATAGATTCTGTAGTAAAGTAATTAATTGTACAATCAATTATCACCTGTCATTTCTTAAGGCTCAGACTATATGCCCACAAAGATCTAAATTTAGGCAATGTGGTAAAAAAAAAAGTTACTATTGTTTTAGCCTTTAACAAGATGCTATGGGAGAGACAAGCCTAAACTGGATCTTTGAACAAGATAGTTCACGCCAGACTGCATTTCAAGTTATAGTCAGTTCAAGCTTTGCTGAATAGGAAAAATATATACATTCTAAGAGTAGGTGCATAGGTGCAGAAAGCTTGGAAATCAGGGTATTGCAAAGCAAGCTTACTTTAAAAGAGAGAGAAATGAACAAGCCTCATAAGTTCCTTCAACCCCATTCAAGCATTTCTATTCTTACACCTTCTTGCCCATAAAGTGATACCACCCTGTATAAAGCAGAGACACCTCGAATGCCTCCTAAGAACATTCTTTAACCAGGTCTCTGAGTAGATAAGCCACGCCTCTCCACTGTAGCCCAGTTTCTCATTCCCAAGTCTTGAGGCAGGAGCTTCAAAAAACATCCTGAGGGGAATGCAGGTCCCTGGGTTTTATGATAAGATGAAAGCAGTGTTAGGGCCAGAACCCTGAGAAGATTCCTGAATTACTAGTAGTTATAAACCCCCTCAAATGAAACTGCTAAGCAACTAATCAGGGGTTAAGAGAGTTGTGCTGCCAGAAAAGCCCCAACCCGAGACTTGTGGTTGCCAAACCTTGTCCCAAATTACTCTCTCACACCCAATCGTACCTAATTATTCTCACCTCACAACATCATGCACTGTGAAGGATTTCAGCAGAGAAACTGCTCCATTGGCTTCCTCACGGGATGCCCCGAAGGATACTGGAAAAATAATGTCTAAAGAATGTGAATGAGGGGCAACCAAAGCAGCCAAAGAACTCACATTCTTACTCTGCAAGTTACTAAATGGTGCTCTTGGTGTTTTCTGATCTATTTCCCTCAGTATCTTTCTCCAGCAGAAGCCAAACATCAAAGAGTAGGGCCCAGAATTACGAACTTTTAACAACCCTCCCCAAGAGATTCTTACGCATTCTGATGTGGAGAAACACTGCGCTACGCAAATAATAAAAGGTTAACGTGACGATGACCACCATCCTTATGCTCAGGAGCAGCAGCGCTGCCCCAAGCCCACATTATGCAGAGGCCCTTTACCTTGATTGAGCTTAATCCTCTGATCTGAATATGCTACCTATCCTCTTATTTTACATCCTATCTTTCTTCAAGATGCAGTTAAAGTCTCACCTAAATCAAACTCTCATCGTTTATAATGACCTGACATTGCCTTTACCATTTGTCACCTTTATCACTTATTTCTCAGCTTTTTAAAAAAATTGAAATATAGTTGATTTACAATACTGTGCTGGTTTCAGGTATACACCTGAAGTGCTTTGGTTTTACATATATATAAAAGTATATAGATTAAACATACTATATATTCTTTAGATTCTTTTCCACTATAGGTTATTATCAGATATTGAATATATCTCCCTGTGCTAGACAGAAGGTCCTTGTTGTTCATCTGTTTTATATACAGTAGCATGTATCTGGAGTAGATTGTATCATTATTTGTGCTTGTTCATCTCTTTGACTCCTGGAGACCCAATGATATACTTTTACCACCTGCCTCTAGCAGTACCTTTCATGCAATTGATACTCCAGAAATTCTCATTGTTAACTAATTAGGGGTTGATCTTTCTCCCAGTTTCTAACACTTTATTCACTTTTTTATAATCACTTCATTGCCTTTTTACCCATCGCTACTCGTCAAATTATTCTCCTCTTACTAAACATCCCCCCTAATCATTTTTTCACATTCCTTTTTGTCCTACACTTTCACATATTTGCCAACTGCTCACCTTTCCGGTTCCCCCATGCTGACATGTAATTATGTAATTATTCTTAATAACCTTCAGGATGTACAAATTATAAATACCCAGCCTAGTTTGCCCAGGAACAGAGACAAAGAAGTGGTGTTCTCTCGGATGTCCCTGCAAGACACCAAGGAAACCAGAAAACTCATCATGGACACTGCAGGCAAAGTAAGTGCTACTTTCAAAATAGATCTATATCATCTTCATTAGTTATTATTATTAGTTAAGTGCACATTGAAACAAAATTAAGACATTTTCTCCGAACAGATTATCAAAGATTTTTGATGATAATACTCAATGTTTTCCCACCTATGGGAATATAAACACTGCTGTAGGGGATATAAATGGCTACAAACTTACTCAGTGATAGTTCGACAGTGTTGTACTAAAAGCTTTAAATGTGTCCCTATCATTTAACACAGAAACTTATTTCAAGGAAATAATTATGTTGTTTTTATGCATTTATTTAATCTGTTTCTTAGTATTTGACATATGTTGCTTCCAGTGTTACACTCTCAAAAACAATGCTGCAATTAACCTGTTTGTAAAATGTTAAAAATGGGAACAGCTGGGTGCCGGGCTTACAGCTTCTCCTCCTTTACCTTTGTCTTGAGTTTTCCAAGTTTTTGCCTTGAGTGTGTATCACTTTTGAAATAGGAAAACCATAACATATGTTTTTACTTATTTTTATTTAAACTTCTCTTGTGGTATTCGTCCCTTTTCTTTGTGTTATAAGATATGTATTATCTCCTCTATTGATATCTAAGTTTCTTGAAGACGATGGATTTACTCAGCTCAAAATGTCTTACAGTAATTAGCACAGTAAATTTGCAAATGAAACATACATAAAATTATGAAGGGCACTAGTACCACCAGAAATTAAGGTATATCAAAAAGTTAAAGTATTCAAATCATTCAGGTGCTGGTACAAGAATAAAGAGAAAGAAAAATGGAATAGAAACAGCTTCCAAAGAGAAACTTATAAATATAAGAACTTATATAATTAAGGTACTAATTTAAGCATAAATAAAAGAAACAATTAAGGGTTCATGCTGGGACAATTCATTTAGATTCTATAACTTCATATTACACAAAATAACTTGAGGTGGATTTAAGGGTTAAATATTTAAAAATCAAACTATAAAAATCTGGGAAAAGGATAAACAGATATTCGGTCTCTAGATGGAGAGAATTTTCAAAGTATAGGAATAGAATAAATAGCAAAGAAAAAGATATTTTTTATGAATCAAATTTTTAAAATACCTGTGTTATATGTGTACATACACATTTAACTTCATAAAAAATTAAAGGTTAAAAGATCAAGAGGGGAAAATCATGTATGACAAGTCAATAGACAACCCATCACTCCTGATTAAAAAAAACACCAAGATGCCAGTAGATACTTACATAAAATATAAGATCAAATGCTCCACAAAAAAGGAAATTATATGTGACTAACACAAAGATGGAAGATATTCAATATCCTTAATATTAAAAAAAATACTAATGAAAAGAAACAGCTAATTTTTTCTGTCTGTAAGATATTTGATTTTCAATGACTATAGTCAGTGCTAAAAAATGATGACATAGATATTCTTCTATAATTCTAGAAACTATGCCAAATCATTCAAACTTTTATAAATCTATAAATCTATAAATCTATAAATAGATTTAGAAATTCAGTCCTAACAATGTCTCTATTCTTCCCCAAGTAAATCTTACATTAGGAAATGAGACAAATCAAAATTATAAACAAAGTTGTTCATTGCAATATACTTTATAATGGTCAAAATAATGGAAATAATTACATGTCTAGTTGGTTGCTTATTAAGCAAATAGGACATATCAAATGATGCAATATAAAGTAGTCACTTAAAATTATGATTATGATTTTGAAGGCAAGAGAAACTGCTTATGCATAGGTAAATGGCAAATGTTCAATATATGGTGGCTGTTATTAGCAAAAAAAATACAAAATTGCTTATATGACATGATCTCTACTATATAAAAATTATTTTAAGAAACTGAAAGGAAATATGCTAAAGTTTTAACAGCTTAAGTCTGAAGTTGTAATGATCTTTTTTCCTGTTTCTTTATGATTTTCTTATTTTTATAAAGTTTAGCAAGTAAGTGTCATTTGTATGATCAGAAGTTAAATGTTATCGTTAAATGAAGTCATTTTATTGTCCTTGGGTCAACAGATAATCACATGCCGGGCAGCCATTGCCTGGGCAGCAAATTCTCTTTCAATTGAGAAAGTACAAGTTGAGCCACCAAAGGCTGGGGAAGTTCGTATTAAGGTAAATTTAAATCTTTGAACCTTTACTTTTGAAGGGAAATGTAAGGAAATCCTATTTTATTTTGTATATATATATATATAAACAAAATTTGCTTTTTTGGCTTCTCCACTTTTCTTAGTAAAAGAAGACTCTTAAAAACCAAGATAAGTGAAGACAGTTAACGAATGTTTGAGATAGTCTCAATAATTGTAAAATGTTGGTAGTTCACTCACTCATTATAATTATTTTTTTAAGAATTGAAATTTTTACTTAAATTATATAATACCATAAGCCTACATACTTCACAGGGGGACCTAGAGGGTGTCTGAAGTGTTAGTTCTTTTGATCTTTGAGGGAAAGGGGACAAGAAATGCATTTCCCCATACTTCTATGATACAGAGTTGATAACAACAAATAGTGACTAACAGACTAACTTTTCATCTCTATTGTTTTGTGCTCATTCATTAGAATTTCAGAATTTGTCTGAAAAAGTGCTTTATGTGGTAAAGTTCAATTTCTATGAATCAGCAGCTAGGGCTTACAATGGCCTTCAAAGTGATGTGGAAGAATTAACAATTACTGAATGGAGCCCAGACCAGGGATGGGAAAACACTGACCTGTCGCATGGACCCTGCCACTCTCAAATCAACCTCTCAGTCAATACACCCCAAATTTTACAAAAGTGTTACATACCCAAGATTAAAGTACTATTGCTTAGAATCTTATTAAACATTAAATTCACTTCTCTTCTAATTTAAGACCAGGAGATTCAACACTCAATTCAATGAATACAACAAATACTGAAAGTTATATGCTTCTAGTCAGTACTGTATTTGATCAAAGTAGAATGTATAGAAGGACAGTTGGAAGAGTAACAGAGAAAAGGAGTGAAGGGAATTGGAAAGATGCCAAAAGGAAAAGGAGATGGAGTGCAGGAGCAAAGTAGAAAAGGATGGATGGGCAATGAATGACAGAACAGGAGAATATGGGAGCTTAACACTAAAATAAATTAATTCCATGTCTGGAGTTGTGCTGCAGACTTTATTTCACCAGTGAGAGATGGTAGAGAAAAAAATGAAAAGTAATAAGAATGTACATGAAGGAAGGAGTTCAGTATAACTGACTGATATTCAGAAGCTATATTTCCCTATTAATTTTTCATCCAAATAGCATTTAATATTTGCTTATTGTGTAGTGGGTCACCATCTGCTGAAATGTTTACAGTTAACGAGTCAGTGTTCTCTGTTCTTACGCTGATACTCTCCTTAACTACAAAGGCTACACCCTAACTAATAAATCCAGAATAGCCCTCCAAGGTGGAAGCTGCAGCAGCAAGGATCTGAGCAATATCACCCTGAACCCTGAATAAAGTCAAGGTTGAGGTTGAGGACTGGCTCTGCCTATAAGGACGGACAATCCCACCTCCAGTTTAAGCTATGGACAGCTTCCCACAAATAATTGCACATTCTTATTTGATGTGCAGAACAAAACTACTAAGGAGATTCTAGCCTGCTGCATACGTAACATAACACCCCTAGCCTTTGATAGCATCTTGAAGCCATTTTAACACTATGGAAACCAAAACTGCAGTATTTTTCTCATGACAATATCATCTCACCTACTTGCCACAATCATATACCAAAGTTGTTCCCAGTGTTCCAACTATAAATATTGCCTCTCTCACTACAGACACTGAGAAAACTAGTCAGTATGCCTGGGCAGATGCTTTCCTGGTTGAATTCCAGGCAAAGCAGTAATACAGGGTCTATAGTACATGAAATGGTTCATTTCTATGATTAGTATAAGTGGTTGGGCCTAGCCACAGACAAGAAAACTTAGGCCATTAACTAAGAAGTTTTAAAACTTCTCAATATCAATTAAATTTTGTAACAGTTTAAGTTAAACTGATTTTACATTATTAACTTAAACAGTGTTTTCAAATAGAAGATAAAATTTTTGTAAATCAGTTTTCCCAGAGCATTGGAAAACATTCGAGAATACTGGGACTAAAATTCTTGGTTTCTCAATGGTGGTGCCGTCGATACATGATCAAAAACTCCTTCATTGTATGCAATTGCCCTCATATTTCAAAACTAGTTGATGACATAAGATGTTCAGAGTAGATTTCAAAAGATCTAGTTTAGTTCCAGGTCTCAACATACACCATGTGATTTGGGGCAAGTAATTCTAAGTCTTCAAATCTCCCTTTCCACATCTAGAAATTGAGGATGATAAGATTTGCCCTGTCTCTCTCTGGGCGTTGTTATAGGAATCAAATGAGCTCATCTTCATGTAAAAACTTGTAAATAATCAGTCTCAGATAAAAAAAATATAAAAATTCCAAACCAACTGATACTTGGTCACTTAATTTCTATGCAGATGACTTCTTCGGGGATCTGCAGTTCTGATGATCATATACTAAAAGGATTATCCCCAGTAAACTTTCCTTTAATCCCAGGCCATGAAGGAGCTGGGATTGTGGAGAGTATTGGCAAAGGAGTGCGCTCAGTGAAACCAGGTAGGAAGTGGGCCACAGAAATCTTTCCACAAGCAGCCTGTCATTAAAATGCATGAATATGTTTGTAGGAGAAATAAGTTGGTTTGCCTCTAGATTCTTTAACTGGTCGCATATCGTGATATTCAATGTATTCAGTGATTCCAAGAGTCTCACAGTTTCCTTACTGTCATTTCCAGCAATCCAGAGGGGCAGTGGCTAAGCCAAGTATATAATCAGAGCTGAAGGAGAGTTGAGCAAGGACCAGTGTACTTCTAAATAGATTGAAAACTTTAGGAGTGAGGATTGCTTCTTTTTTTAAATAGACAATAAAACTGTATTATAAACATTAAACATGCTAAGTGATCAGATCTTAATTGTTCCCAAGACTAAAAGAAATTATAATTACATGACACGATAGAAGTGCTAGCTAATGCTACAGTGGCACTTATACTGCAATATAAATGTATCAAATCAATATATACTTATACACAATGTATATCATATACCTCACTAGAATTTTTTTTCTAATGAATTGTTTCTCAACAGAAAGGGGACTTTTTGTAATCTGGCAAATTAATTTATTCTGACATTTCAGAAGAATTCAAGTGTTTCTTTTTTACTGAGATATAGTTGATATACAATATTATGCTAGTTTCAGGTGTGTTACATAGTGATTTAACGTTTGAATCCATTATGATACGATCACCACTGTAAGTCTAATAACCATTTGCCCCCCCCAAAATTATTATAATATTATTGACCATGTTCTTTTTGCTGTACATTACATCCACATGGCTTATTTTATACCTGGAAGTTTGTACCTCTTAATCCCCATCACCTATTTTGCTGCCTCACCTCTGTCCCCTCTGGCAACCACCTGAGTGTTCTCTGTATCCATGAATCTGTTTTCATTCTGGTTTTTTGTTTGTTTGGTTGGTTTTTTAGATTCCACATATAAGTGAGATCAGATGGTATTTGTCTTTCTCTGTCTAACTCCTTTCATTTAGCATAATACCCTCTGGATCTATCCATGTTGTTACAAATGGCAAGATTTCATTTTTATGACTGAATGATATTCCATTGTATAACATTGCATGTATACACACACACATATACACACACACCATATATATATATATATATATATACACACATGTATTCAGTGTATGTGCGTGTGTATATATATATACATATACATATACATATATATACCACATCCTCTTTATTCATTTGTCTATTGACGGGTACTTAATGTTGCTTCCATATGTTGGCTATTGTAAATAATGCTGCAATATATGTTGGTGTGCATGCATCTTTTTGAATTAATGTTTTGTTTTCTTTAGGTAAGTATGCTGAAGTGAAATTCATATGGCAGTTCTACTTTTAATTTTTCGAGGGAGTTCTATATTGTTTTCCAAGTGACTTCACCAATTTGTATTTCCACCAGCAGTGTGTGAGGGTTCCTTTTTCTCCATGTCCTTGTCAACACTTGTTATTTGTTGTCTTTTTGATGATAGCCATTCTGACAGTGTGAGGTGATATCTCATGGTGCTTTTGATTTGCATTTCCCTGATGATTAGTGATGCTGAGCATCTTTCATGTGCCTGATGGCATCTGTACGTCTTCTTTGGAAAAATGTCTATCAGGTTCTCTGCCCATTTTTTAATCAGGTTGTTTGCTTTTCTAATGTAGAGTTGTATGAGTTCTCTTATATACTGTATATAACCTCTTATCAGATACATTGTTTGCAAACATCTTCTCCCATCTCAGGAGGCTTGCCTTTTCATTTTGTTGATAGTTTCCTTAGCTGTGCAAAAGCTTTTTAATTTGATGCAATCATATTTGTTTATTCTTAAGGGACTGCTTCATATGTGTGTGTGTGTATATATATCTCTCCCACATACCTAGGACGTACCTGTTCAAGGTTAGAATGCAATGAATGTTTGACAAATGAATGTTCGACAAATGAATGTTCTAGTCAGCTAGAATATAGAATTTGAATTTTTGTTGACACGATAATAGTGACATTTCAAAGAATCAAAGAAAGTAAATAAATGCTCTTCCCCAGGCATATCAAAAAGTATCTTGACACAGCTATTCTTGACATATACGGAATGACCAGAGTGAATAAGAGCAATCACACAAATTAAGATACTACCGAATCACCGAATCTCACAGCTTGGAGCCAGGCACACACAGAGATTAAGAAAGTGCGTGGTCAGGATATTCACGTAACTACCATCAGGGTATTCATTTAGCAAACAATTATGGAGTGCCTACTGTGCATCTGACACAGGCACAGAAGGAGAAGCAAACATAAAAAGATATGGTCTCTATATCTCCAGGAAGATTATGCAAATAGGGGGTATATATACTTAAAATCCTCTTTACCTAAAAAAATTGCAGTGGAAGTTTTGCATAAAATGATGAGTATTTGAAGGGAAAGAATAAGAGAGCAGAATTTGAGATCCTCCTGAATTTGAGATCCAGTGCCTTTGGGATCTTTTAGGGCCAATAAAAATAAATGTGCCTTATCTAGACTTACAAGAGATTTTTAATGCTACCTAAGCTCCCTGCAAGAGGCCAAAGGGGATTATTTCTGTTATAAACATTTGTAAGGACCAATATAGGGGCAGGTTATAGACCTCTGACAAAGATTTCTAAGTCTGTGATGACTGTGTTAATTTTCTTTCCAGACCCTACCTAGCCTGTCATCCTAGGGCCTAGCAGGCTAGCTAATGACTGGATCCAAATGTAATCAGTATCCTCTCCAGAACTCTACAAGCTAAAAACCACCCTCTGTAGTAAGTGCTCCAGAAGCAGCCTCTGTCTGCAGAGGGAGAGCTATTTCTTTTATTCTTTGAAGTCAGCATATTTTAGAACCTAGCCCCACTAAAGCAAACATGTGAGGGGACTGCTGTGGGTCAGTGTGCCACCATGGGGTAGGGGGACTCAGTGGAAAGGGCTCTGCTGTTATCCAGCTGGGCCACATCAAGCAGGTAACAACAACTGTGGGACTTAAATCCTTCAAATGGGAAACAAAAGGGGGAGATGCTTCAAGATGGCAGAGTAGAAGGACACGGAGCTCACCCTCTCCCACGAATACATCAAAAATACATCAATGTGTGGAACAGTTCTCACAGAATACCTACTGAACTTTGGCAGAAGATCTGTTACAATTGGAACTACAAGGAAAATCTTCATGAAACTGGATAAGCCAAGGTCCTACTGTATGGCACAGGGAACTATATTCAATATCTTTTAATAGTCTATAATGAAAAAAAATATGAAAAGGAATATATATATATATATATATATATATATATATATATATATATATGTATGTATAACTCAATTCCTAGGCTGTATACCAGATATTAACACAACAATTTAATTCAATTTTAAATTTAATTCAAATTTATTTCAATTTTTATAAAAGGTTAAAGTAGATGACATCTCGAAGGTTCATTCCTGGTTTTTATAAGCCCATTTCCAAACTAAAAGCAGACCTACAATTATCTATCTAGCAAGAAATAACCCCAAATTTCCATCATTTACCCAAAAGAATCATGGAATTTCTGAAACCAGGTTATACAGGTTTCTCTTTCAAAACAGTCATGGGTACCATTATACTGGTTGCCATAATCTGTCCACGGCAAGTTTTCAAGCCATTCAGTGAAATTTTTATAAGCACACTGTTGTAATTCTTTTTCAGTGATATTTTAAACTAATGATTATATTTTTTTTCTATATACAGGAGATAAAGTCCTCACACTCCCTATTCCACAGTGTAGAGAATGCAGTTCCTGCTTGCACCCCAAGGGAAACTTCTGTGAGAAGCAAGAGTTAGTAGATTTTCCCATCTTTTATTTATTTTGTCACTCTTTTACTAAAACGCTGATATTGAGCAAGCACTTACCTGTAGCTAAAGGTGTTCCCTTCTCTCTTTGCAACCTTGTGTGTCTGTGCCGGTGCCGGTGCTTGTGTCTGCGGAACAGTATTCTACCTTCCTCTGGATTGATGCTGGATGGGACTAGCAGATTTACCTGCAAAGGAGAAAAGATTTATCACTCTTTTGGCACAAGCACGTTCAGTGAATATACTGTTGTGCATGAGATTGCAGTGGCAAAAATAGATGATGCTGCTCCCATGGATAAAATTTGTGTCATAAGCTGTGCAGTGCCTACAGGCTATGGGGCTGCGGTTCACTCAGCCAAGGTGAGGAAAATACCTGAGTGTTAACATGTAATAGTAATTTGCCTAGAAAACGTCAAAACCAGACCAAAACAGTCCATATGTTTGAACTAGTGTATATAGTTCCAAAAGTCTCAACTGTTGTTTTTGTATGTTTGTTTACTTAATTACACGTGTTCAAGTTTAATTCCTGACACAGACATGCCTTGTGAATTTACAGGTCACTCCTGGTTCTACCTGTGTGATCTTCGGACTCGGAGGAGTTGGCTTAGCCATTGTCATGGGCTGCAAAGCCTCTGGTGCTGCTAGAATCATTGGGGTTGACATTAACGAGGAGAAATTTCCCTGGGCAAGAGCGTTAGGGGTCACTGATTGTCTCAACCCTCAGAACCTCAAGAAGCCCGTCCAGGAGGTGGTCATGGAAATGACAGGCGTTGGTGTTGACTTTGCCTTTGAGGCCATCGGACTCCCGGAGACCATGGTGTGTAGGCTTGGGTCACAGTGAGTATAGGCATACCTCAGAGATATTGCAGGTTTGGTTCCAGGCCACTAAAATAAAATGAATATTGTAATAAAGCAAGACACACTAATTTTTTAGTTTCAGTGCATGTAAAAGTTATGTTTACACTATACTGTATTCTATTAGTGTGTGACAGCATTATATCTGAAAAAACAATGTACACATCTTAATTTAAAAATACTTTATTGATAACAAATGCTAATCATCTGAGCCTTCAGCAAGTCATAATTTTTTGCAATAGTAACATCAAAGATCACTGATCACACATCACAATAACAAATATAATAGTAATGAAAAAGTTTGAAATACTGCAAGAATTACTAAATGTGACACAGAGACAAAGTGAGCAAATGCTGTTGGGAAAATGGCACTGATAGACTTGCTCAACGCAGGGTTACCATAAACATTTAATTTGTAAAAAATACATTATCTGCAAAATGCAAAGTACAATGAAACAAAGTATGTCTACAGATGCTTAACCGGTGGGGACACATTAAGTATAACTCTCTTGAACATACATTTTGGACCTGTAGACCCAAAATCTAAAAATGGAATGTAAATTCACTCTGAAACATTTGTTTTAAAAATAAAAGCAATATATACTTAAAAATATGTCATTATAGTATACAAAGTTCAAACATGCAAAAAGCTACCATTCTAGTATTTCCTTTCCTGTATTCCTAGCTCTTTCTTCATATACATATTTTTATATTTAAGTATGAACGTTATTTAATTCACATATAATATTCACATGTGTTCTCTATCAGAACCATTCATTTATTCGAAAAATGAGCTCCTGTGCACCAGTGTGTTGAGTTCAGGGATACAAGAGTGAATAAAATCAGCACCAGACTCTCGGCTCTGACAGTGAAGAAGAGAGAATGTAGGCATTCGATTCATTTCAGTGTGTACCTAATGTTCGTGGTCAAAGAATGAAGGAAGTAGAGGTAATGATATAAAAAGAAAGAGGCAAAATAAGGCAAAATGGAGGAAAGGGGAAGGACAGCAGGATTAAGAACCAGAAAAGGAAGTAAAATAAATAGCTATGAAGAATTACACTGTACATCCTTAGAAAATTAATTTTTTTAAATGAAGCTTCACATATGTATATGTTTGTTTTGTTTTAATAGAAATGAGTTGGACAAAGAGTCACAGCAAGTGAGAAGATCAGGCAAAGAATAGAGTGTGTAGAACTTTGAGGTGGTGGGTAATTTTATTTAATACACACATGGTACATTCTATGTGCCAGATAGTGTACTAAATGTTTTAAGTATGATAAATCACTTAATTCTCATAACAACCATATGAAATTGGGAGTATTATTCTTTTTTTTTTTTTTTTTTCAAATGAAGAAACAGAGGCCTAGGGAGGTAACTCGCCTCAGATCACACAGCAGCAGAGTCTGTGCTCTTTAGCACTAAACTCTACTGGTTCTCGAACAAGGTTCTATTACTGGCAGTGTTGAAGCTGAGGCTGAAGAAGCCTTTGCCCAGGATGAAAATCCGTGACTCCTTCCACCACTGCTGGTAGCTGTTATTTGTGTATGGAATGTGCTCATGGTCGTTATTATCCTTGTCAGACTGCTGCTTGGGACTGCTGCCACCTGAGCTATGGTGTCTGTGTCATCCTCGGGTGGGCTCCACAAAATTCGCAGCTTTCCCTTGACGCAACGAAGGTTATCACTGGACGGACGCTGAAGGGCGTAGCTTTAGGAGGTAGGTTAGTCCCTTTAGGAAGGGACCAGTTGTTTGCTCTCATGAAATCTCTTTCACCTTTGGTAGAAACATAGAATTCAAACTTCTTTTCCTTGCCGGAACAGAGCTACAATGGTAGACGTTTCCAAAGACTTCTCCGATGAGTTGGTGTATTTCGCAAGTCAATTTTAGTGCATTTAATTAAACGGATTTTTTTATATGCGAATAAAATTTTTATCTCCTGCAGAATAGTTTTTGGGTTTTTCCAGTGTTTGAAGTAATTCAGCTAACTTCATTTCTGGCACCAGTGGATTCCAAGTTTGTTGTGTTACTTTAACAGCAATGCTTTTTGGATAATTATATACACCAACTTGGTGTTTGGCACTTTGATTTTTGTCTTCCTAGAGAAGCCCTTATTTCTGAGCAATATTGACAACAACTTTACTAAATTAACATTCCCACCTTCATCCACTGCTCTGATGGGAAGTTCCCATGCCACCTCACTGTGTGTGAACACGGAGCAAAGGAAATAGCTGTGTAATGGTAAACCCAGGAGCAGGTTGGAGACTGATAGTTTATTTTAAAGGGCTTTTTCTTAACTCAGTAACACATGAATATTGACTAATTTTCTTCTCCAAAGAAGTTCTAGGTAACAGAACTGTCTATAGCAGCCACACTTAACAACAGCAGTCAACAGCTTCTGATGTACAAATGAATTAATTATCTCTCATCTTCAATGGCAAATTTTCAGAATACTCTACCCATCTCCATGACTTATTTGATTTGTTTTCTTTTGGTTGGTTTGATATTTCTCAAATTTTATTACAATAGCGTTTTTGTTTTGCAGGTTATAAAACCAGAGACTGTGTTCCCCAACTTGTGACTGATTACTTACGAAATAAAATTAATATAGGTCCTTTAATAACCCATCAGCTGCCTTTTGAACAACTCCACAAAGCTTTTGAGTTGTACCATGCTGGAAAAACGTGAGTGTATTATTTGATGATCTCCTGGACCCTGAACTCACAAAGAAAATGACTCTTCAAACATCTCCAAGTGGTTTTGTGAGAAAGAGATGGCCTTCAATATCTCTGACACACTCTAACCTATTTCCTATTGTCACTGGGATAATAAAAGGTTTTACCTGAAGGCCCCTCTTCAGGAAAGACACACATTAACCTATTTCAAAGAAATGTTCAAGTATTCTGTATAACACTAAGAACCACTCTACCCAACATTGGTCAACTATGCATTAGTTTTCTGGTTACAGAAATGATCTAGAATAAGTGAGGTGACATTACTGGAGTCATAGAATCTCACAAGTAATCTTAGATGCAAAGCTTTAGACTCCATCTAGGGCATAAAACCTTTCTATATCATTTCTGACCGATGGTCAGTCTGCTCCGGCTAGTACACCTTGGAGATGGAGTGTTCACTCAATGTGTTCATTTATTCATTCAACATGTATTTAGTGATGATACACTATTTGCCAAGACTATCCTAAGTGATGGAGACACAGTGGAGAACAAGCACCAAGCAGTAAATGAGAGTTACTCCTGTGACGAATACTTTGATTTTCTAATTCTGATTCCAAGCACATCTCCCTTTTATATTCTCTCCCCACCCCACTCTACCTATATCCTATGTTGAGTGATTTTTTTTAAATTTAATCTAGGTCTTTAAATTTTACTTGCTATACATTGTTGGTTTTGGCCTAGCATATTAGCCCATTTAAATCAGGAATGAAGAGCCAAAAAAACTCATCTAAAGTTTTCGAAACAAATTATAGAGGAGGGGGTGGCTCTAGCAGGCAGTAGACCCAGTGAAAAAGGAAAGGAACCAAGGGAACTCATTTATTCTTCCCTAACCAGACATGCTAGATTCTGGGGCTGATGGAAGCTGATCAGAAGCTATAGCAGAGGGTATAGATGTCTCTGTGATTACGTAGCCAGAGGGAATGGTGCTCAAA